GGGGAGAGAGGGGTGAGCGCAAAGAAATCAAATATTGTACTAACAAACGAATTGTCCCAATGGAATCCAATCCTTTTCTCGATGACATTCACAGCAAAGAAGAACTCGCGGTGATAAATAATTTTCTTCGAAGTGTTAGTTTTTATCAATAATATTCATCACAATTTGAGCTCTCCAATTTCCAAAATCGCAAATTCCCTACCACCTGCTGTGGTCACCTGTCGTGTTGATAACTGATCGACATCCTCGACCAATGGAAAAAATGCGTTCTTGGATAAACTGTTGGGGATCTAGCAGCCCCATTCTATCTAGCGATTTTCTCCAGTTTTTCTAACGTTTTAGGCTGGTTTGCTTGTTGCTTTGTAGCATTTCCCTGGAGACAGAATCAAGACTCGTCTTTAACTTTAAGCAAAACACGTCTCCAGTCAAATTTTCACTCCACCAGAATTATAAAGTTCTATCTGCACAGTATCTAGTTTTGAGAAATTTGACTTTTTAAGTTTTCGAGTTTAACATGATGTCAAGATTTTTTTAATGCAATTTTTAAACTACCTTGATAACGACTCCGAATAATCTTGCGATTTTGATAGAGCAGACAAAACATTTAAAAATTGGTTTCTGTTGTTTTAGTAGAGGTTTTACAGCGTTCGCAAATGCACAAGGTCAAATGAGCGCCAAGGGGTGGATGTCAACGGAGAAGTCCTTATAGCGAATCAGGCTTACTCTGCTCACCTCTCTGGCTTCAACAGCACTAAGTCTGCTTCGACTATCAAGACACCCCGGAAAAAGCAGGTCACAAGAGTGTGACAAACATACTAAAGAAGTAGAGGGAAAATGACGATAGTAAAGATTAGGAAAGGAAAGGCAACAGTTCCCTGTTGCAGTTCAGGCACAGTTATGTGCATGACATTGATGAATCAGCCCATTTACAATTCTACTGTGCATAAGAACATGTTAATGTCCCCCTTTGAGAATGGCCTAAAGACACTTCAGTCAGTAGCACCGCCCAAGGGGGTAATTTGGTTTCTAACCTCATATTCTTAGTAACTCAAAACGGCCAAATTTGTCAGATAGAACTTTGTAATTCGAAGGTAGCGGTTTTTCCAACGCGAATGGCATATTGCTCAAATGTATGGGGCCCTGCAACGATGTGGCAGGAGATTTGGCTTGAAAGCTGGTCTATAGAGTCCAACGTTTTACTCTCGAAGACGATTCTTCAGTTTTCGCTGAGCCTGGTCTTAATCCAGGGATATTACGTGCAGTCAGTGATGCAGAACGCATTCTGTTCTAAGGATGTATGCGGTGGTTGTGTCGGTCCTGTCTCTGTTTTA